AGAGAAGAGAAAGAGAACCCACACCAGAGCCATGACCCACCACATCTGACATGGGGCACATGCCAGTCCTTACTCCTGGGATATGCATCATTCACATGCTAGGAATCCACATGCATTGGGGCAGCATGTTAAGTCTTATTTTTAAAAATATAAAATGTATTACTCCTCTATGATACATTCATAATTATTTGGTGAAACTTACTGTTTATACAAAACACATTGAAATAAATCACATTAACAAAACCTACTTGATTTCATAAGCAACTTACACCCACTATTTAATATTTTAAAACTCAATGAGTTTTAAATTAATTAACTAGAACATTGAGATTAAAGTCTTTCAAAGATATTTGAACTATTCATTGAACGGCAACAGAAAGAGATTCTAAAAGATCTTGAAAAGCTTGCTGTAAAGCTAAATCAATGTTTTTATCAGGAATCATCCTAGTTAAATATTACCAAACAAAGCAGAGTTATATATAAAAGTTCAAAACCAGAAGTCCTGTCATTAACACAGGAATATTTCAGAAGCTGCCACAAACTCCATGTGATATGCTGTTTGCAAAACTGGATGGATTTTCTCTCCAAAGTGGCAAATCACACGCTTCCCCAAAAATTCAATTTGAGGATGACCAAGCATGATTATAAAACTGGATGGGGAAGATGGGGATAGGTCAAAGACATGAAATCTGGAAAAGATGGGTAATAATGTTTCAATATCAACATCCTATTTTTACAAACACAAAAAAAGCCTCAAGTTTTTAATTGAATTTCAACCTGAATTTGTTTCTTTGGCTATTTTCAACAGTATCACTTTTCTTTATATTCCATGAGGTTAGAGATATGAAAGAACAAACAACACATGACCAACAGCAGGGAAAGGCTCACTCCAGGACACACAGGGTTGGTTATCTGTCTCCTGCATAAAATATAATACAACAGTGGCTAGCAAAGTATTGCTGACTTACCTGATGGAAATGCTGTGGGCAAGCTAACGTTTTGAAAATACCTTCTTACTTTGCAACAATTATTAGTGTGCTTCAGATGAAAGTTTTCTTTTTCTTAAGCAGAACAGGAGTTCCTGAAGAGCATGTACCTGGAGTGAAAGTTGTCAGTTTTATTTATATGAAAGATATTTTTTAATAGTAGTGTTAGATTTAAAATTCAATATTTTATTAAAATTATTTTATATTTGCAAACTTCACCACCAAAGTCACAAATAGCTTGACATTTCTTTTTCTTGTATTTTCAAGGAAATTTACAGAAATGAAATTAAGCCTAAACTAAGGGTGCCTGTTGCTCTGCCAAAAACACTGATGTCCAAGCCTAGTGTGTTTCTTCTCTTGCAAGGATGTTAGCAGTATATTTAGCATCAGGGTGGAAAAAGGGGAGGTTGGACTAAAAGACTCATATTACAGGTCTCATATTCCCACTTTTGTGCCACTCCTGGACTTATGGCCTGGTCATTTCATGGGGTTTTTTTAAGAGTTTTGACAGAAAATTGCTTGTCTACCTAAAATTCAAAACCAGCTTTAGTGAGACACTAGATGCACATACAAAACCTTCCCCAGAAAATTGTATTCTTTTTCCAAGAGAAAGTGATGCGTTATTTTTTGTTTGTTTGTTTTTAAGTCATGAAAAGTAGATGAAGCAGCAAATGACAGAGGAATTAATATACACAATAAATGTGAACATCTCTGCTGCATATATTCAGCCTAACTGAAATACAGAGTTACTCTGTGTGAGATCAGGTGAGGCCTCAGACACACACAGAGTTAAATACAGTGGTGCTGTTGAGATACTAAAAGATGAGATATTGCTGCTGACCACAGAGAGCAAATTACAATTAAGTACACATCTTTCTGGGAAGTTTGCCAAGAAAAAACCAGAGAGAGGAGGCCATCACTGCTGCTTTGCTTAAGCTAGGGAAAAATGGAGATGTAGGTGCTCTAACTCTTAGGAAATGAGCAATTGCACTCAGACTACAAAGCAAATCAGTGCTAATGAGACAAATCAGGAAACCAACTCCAAGAATGAGTTCAAAGCACAAAAGTAGAAATATTTCAGCTGTCTCTGTGTTATCAGCTTAGCACTGGGGCAACTGCATCACTGCTGGCTGTTGCTGTGGCATGGTGTTTTTGCACAAAACCAGCTTCACAGACTTAAAGATAAAAAAGCATAAACAAAAAGTGTACACGTGGCATTACAGTAGAAGAAGTGAGGGAGATTGAAGAAGCAAAAACAGAGTTTGAGCAGCACTTTTGATAACAGGGAAGAACTGAAACCATGGAGATAGAGTGATAACAGCAGAACACAACCAAGAACATTGATATAGAGCTGAATTACCTCAGCAGGCAAAAGAAAAGGACAGGTAAGAGCCCTGGTCACAGTGACCATAATGTGTAAAGGATGAAAAGCATCCCAACCTACCACTCCCCTTAATGAACTTGAGACTCATTCTACTAGAGGACCCAAACAGACAGAAAGAGCACTGCTAATGGCAGGAAGATGTCACGTCCTACATTTCAGCACTTGCTTGTTTCCTTACACAGAAATTGTCTGATTCAGCAAGAAACAGGCTATTCTGACTTTTCAGTCAAGGTATCTTTAACAATTTTCTACAGGTCTTTGCTGGTACTACATGGCACTAAGACTTCTATACGTAAGATTCAGAGGAGTGACTGTCTCCTGCAGCATTAACACCTTCCTGCCACACTCTAACTGTGATGGCATCTAAGCAGAGGGGGACCAATCTCTCATGCACCATGGCAAGCAACTTACTTCCTCAAATGCAAGCCTGACTGGGTAGTTTTGCTCTGAGTCTGATGTTGGATCCAGTTCTCCTGTCTATCATCCCAGCTGTTACAAGATCTCTTTTCTATAATTTCTCATATTTTCAATGTGAAAAGTCATCATTAAACAACATAAGTTAGATTGTGCTCTACAAGATTCTTGAGTAGAACTTTATGTCTTGATCAAATAGCCTTTAATTTTTTTCTTTATTTTTTAATGTGTGAGAAAAATCCCTTTTGGTGTGAAAAGAAAATACTGGGAGTTTCCTCTTTCATGATTTCCTGAGATCCTCGGTAAGCAAATAGCTTTTATATTACTGTCTCTCACCATCTCTCAGCCTCTCACAAGGCTGGGCAACCAAGCTGTACCCAACTATGGCTAATTAAAAACATTTCACAAGGAACAGAAATAATACAGATGGAAAAGTCCAATTTGAAGCCTCAATTTCTATATAAGTTCTGTTTTGTCGTTTTTGCCATGATAAGTTGGACTTATGGGTCTTCTCTTGAGAGATTTCCCTTTCCAAAATAGGGAGGCAGCACTTTACAGGAGTCTCTGGTGCAAAGAAAGCAGTGTCTTAGTCATGCTACAGAAGATAAACTCATTCATTAGTCCAAGGTCTCATTTTAACTCAAATACTGCTTCATAATGAATAAAATTTGGGACTTAAAATTTACTTTACAGCATAAACCAATATTTCCATGTGGTTTCTATAGACTCTCAATCCAGGGTCAACATTCAAGGGCTTAATTGCACAAAAGGCAACATCACCAACCTGTCACTCTGGATGATCTGAATTAACACTGAGTGTCAAATCACCTGCAAAAACAATACCACAGTGAAAAAATAATCAGTCTTGACCTCAGTGCACATTTGTCTGCATAATGTTATCAGAGAGTTCAGAAATTTGAAACATCTCATAAATAAAGAAGGTGTTAAAATAATTTGGAAGTATGCAAGGAAGCAAGTATTTCATTGCTCTTTGGCAGCAACCTTTTCCATGAGTCCTTTCCCAGCCCGACCATGCACAAGGCTGTAGGAATGAAGCAGAAACTGATTAAAATATGCATGGGCACGTTCACACACATTTCTAAGCATGTGCAAAGGAAAGAATGGACATAGGGAAGATTTTAAGAAAGCTTTTCTGCAGGGCAAGCTAAAGGAAGTCAAGGACAACTGCTCTCAGTAAACTGATCTGAGATTAAGAAAAAAGGGAAATGGTTGCCTTTGATGAAAGAGTTGAGAATAGGTACAGCTGCATTGAGCAGGAACAGGAACTTTATTATAAAAGCACTCTGATGTGGCATTTACCCCAAAACACCAGTGAGTAAAAATAAATACACATCCACAGAGCTTAGGCTATTCTGGTGCTGTTTTAATCACTTTAGAGCATCACAATATCTGGAATGCACTGGAAGTTAAGTTTCTATTGATTATTTAGGGTTGCTGAAACCAGTTACTGGACATTTGTGTCTTTTAGGTAGTTGCATATAACATGGATCAATTACAGCATCTGTGCGCACAAAGTTCTGCAGCAGTAACAGGTCAGTTAAGGAAATTTAGTGCCCAGAGCCAGGACCTATATCACACACATTCCTTGTTGGGTTCATCTCTTTTTCTTGTGGAGGTTGTTTGCATGGATTGCTACTGAAGTAAGTCCCACAGATTGAAGTCCTCTTGTTCTCACTCATTTGGGCTACTTTCTTCCAGTCCAGTACAGCTGCCAGTCAGGGTGGGACCTCTTTGAGAGCAGCAAATGAGCCAGATGCATAGTTCAACGGCCAGACACTTCAAGTCATAACAAGCTAGTGAAGCGAGCTAATTTTGCTTGCAAAAGAATTAGCCTTTATTAGCCACTAATACCACTTTTTGCCCTCCATAGCCCTTTAACCAGCTGCAGCTCCATTGACTTCATATTTTGGAAAGATTACTAGTGGCACATCTGGTTACAGAAAGTTTAGAGGGCATCCTAGAGCAGCTACCACTTATTAGGACATGAATGAACTTAAACTATCTGATGAGGAATGAGCTTCAGTTACCACACTGTAGGCATTCATATGGGGTAAATCTTGTCATTCAGACCACAAATTCTGCAAGGCATTTTTGCCTAATTTTTATCTAATTTTTATCATATGTTTATCACATGTATATATAAGTAGTATAGTTCAAATTCATATTAGGAACTTATGAGGTAAGAATTGATGAAGAATACGTACAGAATTGCATCTATATATATATATTTATATATGCACTTATGGTATTTAGTCCCGGCTTTAGAGACAGTGATGAAATTGTCATTACTTTGTATTTTTCTATCTTCTCTACTTATGCAGAATTGAGGAAAGTCAATGGCCTAGCTGCACTCAGACTCACTTCAGATATGTTCTGCATTAATCACTAGGATTTACAAACCTAAATCAGGCTAAATCAGGTGTCATTATGTTTTTTCCTATGGAAGTACTACAACTTTGTGATACTGCTGTAGATTAAAAAATCACAAATTAACCTGCTGATCTAGAGACAAAAGATCAAATCTATTTTAATCAGCTCCCTACACAGCAAAACAGTAGAATCTCTTAAGATTCCAAGCAGCTAATACAGGCAAACTCACTTGATTTCATTTCAAAGAGTTCAAAGTCTAAATAAGGAGCAAAATTATATTTTATTCTGCATAACATTTAAAGAAACCCAGTACAAGGAAGCTGCACAGGTTGCAATGATGAGAGGAAGAAGAGAAAAGAATCTAAAAAAAAAATAATATATTAAACAAACCACTTGCAAGTTTTCATTAATTGCAGTCTAGCTTTGAAGAGCAGGGAGAACAGCAAGTATTGTAGGTTCTCACTCAAGTTATTTAGGTGGGGACTCCAAACCAGTTGCATTTTTTAGCAAATATAACTATAAAGAAGACTCACAAAAGCAACTGATGTCTAAAAGTAGTAAAAAAGCCAACAAAGGAAAGTCAGGGAGATAACTTTAAGAATTGCCTACCTCAAAAAAATTAGGGTGTGAGCTCCTGTGTACTGGGACTGTGCCTCAGACACTGGAAGTAATGGTCCTGCTGTTTCCCAAAGTAAAGCACCACCTTGCCTCTCCTACAGCAGAAACAAGTCTCCCTTACAGATGGATTGCAGTTTTAGCCTCATGTGATGTCTTATATTTCAAAATTTTCTAATCTGCTGTATAATGAGTGAGTCCTGATGTGTTTCTCCTGGATTATAACAGCAATAATGTATGAAAGCAATAACGTGTTCTCTTATAGCTAGAACACTCAGCACCCTTCAAACTTAAACTGAATAAAAAGAACAAATAAGGTTGAATTTTTTCCTTTAATGTAACTGATATTTTCTGTGGATCAGATGCATGGTTAGCTACGCTTCTAACACCAACTTTTCATCCTAGAGAAAGGGAATTTGTCTCTGCCTTTTCTCCTGATCACGTTCACCATAGTCTACCATAATGGATTCTCACCTTGGAAATTACCAATGAATGCAGATGCAATCATCCTCTTTTTGCAAGTAGGCTGGGTAAGTCCCTATGCAGCATTTGAACAGGTAGGCCCTTCCCTTAAACATTTCTTTTGTACAGAAAAGGAAATAATCCAGCAGAAAAAATCTTCTACCATATAGCAACACCAATTCTCCTCATCAGTGCCACAAGCAATATCTGCCTTTGCATTTTTATTTCACCTATAACTTCAGAAATATCTCATAAATGCAGGGCTGGTCTTCTAAATACCACCCAAAGGAAATCTGAAACATAACACAAAAGCTCATCTGGCAGCTCTGCTGTTCCCAGATGTGGTGCCACCCAGAGAAGGCAAGAAGATGAAGAAAAAAGTTGTGCAGGAAAAGCATCAAGAAAATCCCTAGCTCGCCAGATCCCCTTGCAAACAAAAAATAGCTATCAAAGGTGAAATTTGCTTTGTACAATACACAAAAAGAAAAGAATCACTTTAGAATGGACATACGCTGCAGAGTAGCAGGAGCAGATATTCCCATCAACACTGTGGACTGGCTAATATCACTGGTGAAAAAGGAAAACATTCTTCAAGGAAAAGCAAAACAGCAAACAAACCTAACAACATGGTTGAAGCTCAAGTGAAGAGGAATAACACTTCCTATCACACAACTCAGGGGAGCAGCAGAGAAGGGAAGCCACTCTGATACCACATCCACAGAAAATTCAGATCCTGAGAACAAATTTGCCATGTACCATAGACATAGTAAGAGTCATCTGCACCATGTGATGCTGCCAGAGATACTGACGGTCTCAGCAAGTTTCTGGATTTGATGTATCAGGGATTGAGTTGCCATTGACCCACATGGAAAAGACAAATCTGAAAGGAGGGATTAGGACTGGCACAGGCAACTTGGGTTAAATTTGTACAATGCTAAAAATCAGGCTGACATTTTTGTTTATGTGTCCCCTCTCCCCACCCTCCTGAGCTCTCGTTAATAGCGTGTAGAACAATGTCAGGTCTCACACAGAGTCAGCACAGCATGACACAGGAAGTCTGTGCTAAAGCGATTTTATGGATATATGATTTCAAATGAGATCAAAACTTCCCCACGACCTTCCAAGACTTTCCCAAATTCTAGGGGTTATTGACATTTACCTAAGTTGTTTTTTGTTTTTTTTTAAATAACTAGAGAATTGAAGTGTTCTGGATATGTCATAAACAGACAACCATAGTCTAACATGGGACATGGCTGTGTTGGATACCCATGTAGTCTGGAATCAGAGAAGCCCTGCAGCTGAGGCTGGATCAACAAGAGGGATTTTGAGTTCCTGTTATCTCCTATTCAGTCAGCTCCTGGCCACAGAAAACATGCAGTTGTGCTTTAATTGAGGATTTAATTTGGAGAGATTTTAGCTACACAAAATCTCTGTAGAGAGGGATCTTCCCTGCCACCTCCAGCAGGAAATGAGTGTTTGGAGCTACATGTCTCAGGTCACATTAGCAGAGCAATTTGGCTATCAGGTGCAAGGATATTTATGGGACTTATCAGATTGTAAAATACTGAAGTGTGGTGACTATACAGCAAGTATAGTGGCGAGTCATCTGTGGCTTGCCAGAGACTTTGAGTCATGAAAGCAGAGGCTGTTGGCCAGTGAGCCCCATGTGCCCATCTCCCACCCATGAAAGGATCTGCCAGAGCACAGCTGGGCTGCAGCACTGCTGCACCTTCACTGTCAGTGAGGCACACCAGTCACAAGCCCTTTATCCCATTCACCGTGTATTAACTTTGTGCTTATGCAGCACAGGTTCTTTCATAAATTGTTCAGTAAGGGGTTTTGGCAATGGTTTCATATTACAAGGCTTCTTTTTATATCCCCTGTTGCCTTTTTCAGGCCCTATCCACCCATTCCTTACAACTATTAATAAAGTATCCCTTCCTCCAGCTGTCAGACCAGGCTTTACAGTCTGTTTTTAAGCTATTGTTGCACTTCTAACAATTAAGACTTCACAGCTTATGCTGCTTTTCTTTCCCCCCCTTAATCCAAAGTGCATTTTTACAGGGGCTATATCAGCTGACATCTCATCCTAAAAATAGGCAATTAAGAAGCTAGAACCTAATGAAATGTTTCCAGGACTTTTTTTTTTTTTTTTTTTTTTTAGTTCAGCTCTAGTATTTCTCGCAAATGCAGTTACTTCAGCAACACAAACTGTACTTATCTGTATTAGTCGGAAAGAAACTGAGGGAAAAGTTAATTCTAAGCCAAGTATCCTGCCAGCACCCATGCTCATGCTGTCCTTTTAGGAAGCACATCCCCTTGCTACCCCTGCACTGGGTAGATTCACCCACACAATGGAT